TAAAGATCTACTAAGAAAGGCTTTTGAGAGGACAGGGAGATGGTGTAGCACCCCAGTTCAAGGACCTAACAATAGCTATTAATTATTAGATAAGCAAATATAAAATATATAGAGCAAATCACTTAACCTCTTGGTACTCTAGGCAACTCCCTGACAAAATATAGAGAAAGCAAAAAAAAAAAAGTGATTACTGAGTTGGGAGAGAGACTAACAGCTGAAATTATAATAGCTAATGGATTGTGGAGTGCTTTTGTGAAGGGGAAGAATGTGTAATGAAGCTGGAGAAGTAAGCAACAGCCAACTTGTGAAGGGCTTTAAATGCTAAACACAGGTCCCTAACAAAATAGGGAGCCACTGGAATTTTTTGCAACAGGAGAGTGATGCACAAGTGAGTTGCAGCTGCCACATTTTATGATGGATGTCAACAAATTGAAATATATCTAGAGGAGGGAGATCAAGATGGTAAGAGAACAGAAAACCATGTCATATGAAAAATGATTAGAAGAAAGTAGGGCTATTTGGCTTGGAAAAGAGAAGACTGAGGGGAGACATGATATAGCTGTTTCAAATATTCAGAAGGTGCCATGTGAAAAGAGACCAACAGGTAGAAGTTGTAGGGAGGCAGATTTTGGCTCAATGTAAGGATGAGCTTTCTAACAACTAGCATGGTCTAAAAATGGTATAACAACTTGGCAGTCACTTATTGGAGATGATGTAGAAAGGACTCATACATCAGAGAGTGGTTAGAAAGATCAAGGGTTCTTAATCTGGGATAGATTTCAGGGGTCTGTGAACTGTCTGGGAATACACACACACACACACACACACACACACATATTTACTTTCCTTAATCTTAGGTATATTTTGTGTATTTAAAGACATTAGCTAGGCGGCACAGTAGATAGAGTGCTAGACCTGGAGTCAGGAAGACCTGAATTCAAATGTGGCCTTAGGCAAACTTAGGCAAGTCACTTCACCCTATTTGCCTCAGTTTCCTCATCTGTAAAATGAGCTGGAGAAGGAAGACAAACCACTCCAGTATCTTTGCCAAGAAAATTCCAAATGGGATCGTGAAGAATCAGACACAACTGAAATAACTGAATGACAAAACAAGAAGACAGTCTGAGAAGGGGGTCTGCAGGCTCCATCAAGACTGCCAAAAGGGACCATGACACACCAAAAAACTGAAGAACCCCTGGATTAGATGATATTTCAAGTCTGTTCCAACTCTGAGATTCTATGTTCTATCATTTTATCTTTTTGAATTCCTCTGCCTTCCTGCTTCCTGCCCAAAGGCTCTTGACAGTTATACACAACAGATTAGCAACAAAACATAGGAGTCCAAGTATATGACTACCACACAGAGAAGGTAAAAGATTTGTAATAAAATCTAAGGGGTTACTTCTATAGTAGGTTATATGGCAACCTACATAGATGGGCCAGGAAAGAAGAGTATCACTTCATTCCACAAAAACTTGGGAAGATTGAGGATAACCAACCCAGATGAAAAAGTCTACCAATAAATCAAGATCAAGTTTAAATCAAGAAGCTGAGTTGCCTAACAATTTGACCAAAATAACTTAACCAAGATTAATTACATAAAAACTAGGTCAAAGTTTTCTCTGTCTCCTTCCCCATATACTCCAACCACCAATCAAAAGGAATGAAATGATGCTTCAACAACTAGGAGGCTGTATACTCTATTTTAGTCACAGGATAGATGTATAGCAGAAGCAACATTCTGAGGGTACCAACTGCATGTATATGTTCAGGAAGGGGAAAGGGGAATTAGTTGCATAGGGTGGAGATATGCTATAGAGAAAGTGTTTTTGTGAAGGTACATCCATGATTTTGCCATTGGCAGGGAAGGGGAGGAGAAGGGGAAAAGTGAATAATGGAATGTGTTTGAGTATATATATAAAACAAAGACTACATAAAACTATGTTTGATTCATAATGGAAGTGAAGTTGGAGGATTTTTTTTGAGATCATCAAGAAAGACAGGATGCTTGCCACTGGCAACTGCTAAAAGCATATAATGATGGAAAATTCAGTTAGCAAGTACATATAACAAGACAACTAGCAAATCAACAGTGTGTTGGCTAATGCAATTAATCAGTAAGCATTTATTAAATGCCTACTATGCCACAGGGACAATCTTATATAATGGGGATAAAAATACAAAAAAAAAAAATGAAATAGTCCCACCTCTTGAGGAGCTTACATTCTATCAGAGAAATGTCTTTCTTTCTTTCTTTCTTTCTTTCTTTCTTTCTTTCTTTCTTTCTTTCTTTCTTTCTTTCTTTCTTTCTTTCTTTCTTTCTTTCTATATCTCAGGATACACAGAATAAATACAAGAAGAGTTAAATACAGGGCAGTTTGGGAGAGAATGGACTAGCTGTTGGGGGAAGGGGAATCAAGAAAGGCTTCTCATATAAAATAATCATTAAGCAGCCTCTTGAAGGACACGAGGAATTCTATGAAGTAGAGATGAGGAGGAAGTACATTCCAGGCATGAGGGCTGGCTGGCACAAAGGCAGAGGAATAAGAGTTAGAATGTTAGGTGTGAGAAACAGAGAGAAGGCCAGGTCAGCAAGATCATAAAGGGCAGGAAGGAGAATAATATATGTTGAGGCTGGAAAGATAGGTTGTGAAAGGTTTTCAAAGCCAAAGAAGGTTTTATGTTTGATCCTGGAGGCAATGGAGAATGTGGAGAAATCTATCATCCTTTAGTATTAATTTGAATGTTTGTACTTCTAAGCATTTTAGTATTTTCTATTCCAACAACAAATTGTAATGTTAGCCAATTAGAACATACATTAAAAATAAGTTAGGACCAGATGAATGAATGAATGGATTCATTCATTCATAAATTTAACAATCATAAATTTCCTATTATGTTTACATTTCTATACTAGGTACTGAGGAAGATACAAAGATAAGTATGTTCTATCCCTGACTTTCAGGAAGCCACCTCAGCATAGTGTGGTATAAAAACCACTATGCAATTCATGTATTATTACTTTCTTAAAATAGCAATGTAATTTGGAGTAAGTATTATTCCCTAGTCTCCTTAGGGAATTGATTTTAAAATAAAGAATAATATAATCTGGATAATTATAAATCTTTAAAGGCCCTTACTCTTCAGCTGAAAGTCTTAGCTGTCATGAAAATGAGGCTTCCTTAAAAGAAAAGTCTGTGTGACTTTACTACCGTTGTCAAAGATATTTCCACCCTAACCACCTTTCTATATATCTGAGCATTGACCTAGACCAGGGGTGGGGAACCTGGGGCCTCAAGGCCACATGTGGCCTTCTAGGTCCTTGGGTGAGGCCTTTTGACTGAGTCCCCGTTTTACAGAACAAATCCTTTTATGAAGGGGATTTGTTTTATGAAGTTTGGATTCAGTCGAAGGGCCACACTTGAGGACCTAGAGGGCCAGGTGTAGCCTTGAGGCTGCAAGTTCCCCACCTCTGACCTAGACCATTCCGTCTGCCAGTTCTGTGGTAAATTGAGTCATATCACCATAGTTCCTCCACTGACTTCAGCTTCCTTCTTTCAGAAATACTCTTTCTTTCCTTTTCCCACTTTTGGTGATAAGTGTCTGCCTGTAGTTTTCTTCCAGAATTTTACTATTCAACTGCAATGAGGGTTTCGGGGTGCTAAAATGTAAAGGCTGTGGATTTAAGGATTTCAATGCAAAGTTCCTGCTCTTGAAATTGCCCCTTGGCTCAGGTACCAGTTATGTACAGTGGTAGTGAAGGCCCACAGTACTGTGGAGGAACAAATAGAGAGACACTTTACAAACTACTTCCTGAAGATTAGCCCCATCTGAAAGGATATATTAGCATTGTCCAAAAGAAAATAAAATAATGAAATATGGATTTTCTTTTGGGTATGTGTGTGACAGAGCTTACAATTATTTAATAGGCATCTTAGTTCAATCTGAAAGTACCAACAGACACTTTCCAAAGCAAATGAAAGCCTGAATTGTCACTCTCTATACAGGACTCATCCCACATTTAAAAAACAGGTAACATACCTGTATCTTATTTCGAAACACACATACAAAGCAAGTCTAATTTTTCAAAAGTTCATTAGCATAAACCTATATAATTAAACAGCACAGTGACTCATTTTAAGAAGCCAATGTGAAGTAACAACTCCTCCCAGGGCTGAGAAACAGCAAACCAACTACACAAATGCTTAAGAATCACAGGAAGTAAAGCAGATATTTACTTATTCCAGGAGAGTTTGGAAGAGTTAGTGTGTATGTCTGTATGCGTGTGTGTGGGTGGGTACTCCAGAAAGTATGCATTTCTTTCAACCCTGGCACCACAAACTTCTCTCCCCCATTCCTCTAAAAGCCTTGTGAAGGAGCTGCTTCAAGGCCACAACAGTTTCCTGTTAACTTCCTGTCCCACTGTCACTCTCTGTCGAGACAGAGCAAGTCATGGGAAAGATAGCCTGATAGGAAGTTCAAGAAATAATCAATGGAATGGAACCTTTACATAAATTCTCAGAAAGCTTAGTCTCCCCAATGTGCTCAAGCAAATTTGAAATAACTTTGTTAATGAAGCACAGAAGTGGGATGTTATTAGAATAGCCTATTAAGAAGTTAAGTCTAGACTGAGTCATTTTATATGGCTTTTTAATAAAGACAAGAGCAGCACAAGCTCCCTTCTCTGTTACCTGAGAAGAGTCTGTTGAAATTAACGCATCCTGAAATCCCAAAAAGGTTCCTTCTGCATAGAATAAAGTCAAGTCGGAAGAATACTATATTTTACAAGAAAAGAGATCGGGTTGCTAAAAGTGCTTTTTCTCTTGCAGTCCAAGTCATCCAATGGACTGACATCTTCCCTCCTCCCAGATTCCTAAGTGACTCCCAGTGATCACCTCTCTCCAGAAACCCACCTGTTTCGAGAGCTTTCGCTCTCTTGTCCTGTGGGGTACGTATTATCAGGGAGATATAGCAGTATGGGAGTGGGGAGAGAAACTAACCGAGAACTGAAATCGGTGCCCTTTTCGCTCTGTCTTCTCAGGCGCCGCTCCAAGTTGGACGCAGTGGACGACAGGGAAACCTGTTGTCTAAAAATTGCTCCTCCGGCTGCGCTCTTGGTACCCTTGGCACTTCTGGGCTCGGCTGGGCTCGTTAGGCCCCCTGCCGGACTGGTGACTGGCTCCACGCGAGGTGCCACAGCTTCCCAGGCGACCCTGTCCTGCGGGTCACAGCTGGAGAGGACTAGGTGGAGCGTGCTTGATAGAATGGGAAGAAAGGTGGCGTCTCTACAGCCCCACTAATGACAAGGAGCCGATCCCGGGCTAGTTTGTCCTCCCCTTCCTTCCTTCCTTTCTTTTTTCTTTCTTTCTTTCTTTTGTTCCCACTCGCCTCCCGCCCCCCCCCCGATCAGCAGCTTAGCCCCCGGTTGAAGAGGAGGAAAAGAGAAAGACCCCACAATGACCCTATTCCCACTGAGTCCTCTCCAACTAGGTGAGAGGAGAGAGGATGGGAGACTAGACAGGTCGGGAGGAGGACCGAGTGTGACGAGAGCCGTGGAGGGGGCGTGTTTCTGTGGGTATCTGAGCGATGGTTTCCTTCCAGCACGCCCCAGCTCCACTAGGGGTTGGTGAAGGCACAGTGGAGTTTCCCAGGCCTCGTGGTCTCTCCGCGGCGCGGAGTGAGTGTTGGGCGTCCGGCTCATTTCCTGGCAGCTGAAAAAGCCGCAGAAGTGTGAGTAGCCGCCGAATGGGTGGTGACAGCAAAGAGCTAACCCCTAGCAGGGTCCTGCAGAAGGCACCGTGAGTTTGACGTTTGCTCCAGGCTAAGCCTGGCTGGGGTCTTAGGTGAGTTGTCCAGCCATGTACTCAAGAATACCGAACAGCAGCCTAACCTTTAAGAAGCGTGCTTTCTTGCTCCCGGCTGTCCCTGCATCTCCTGGCCCACGAAATTATCTGGTCTTTATACTTCTCCAGCCTCTACAATGTTGGTCACTTCACCAAAAGACATGTTAATTTCATAGGCGCAGAGACGTGGGCTGGTAAATATTTAACAACTGGATGTCTGGGGGGAAACGTTCGCAAGACACACTTTTAAGTTTAACACGTATTATTAACATTTCCATCACTTTCTTAAATCTAGCGTTTGCTGATTTCTGAAGTGTAAACGCTCACAATGAAAATTTAACAATTGGCTCTTGGAGCCCCGAAGAGTCCCCACGGCAACCCTGCTTGAGATTATAAAGTATCTTCCAGCTCTATCTGTAGGATCCTTTGATCTAGTCCAACATCCTTTATTTTACAGATAAAAAAAAAGTGGGATCTAGAGAAATTAAGCAATTTACCTAGAGGCAAACTAGTAAATAGCACAGTCTGAACCTGAAACCAGTCGGGTCTCATGAGTCCAAATACAGTGAACTTTCCACTATGTCTTGTTACTGTTGATAGGGGCCGTACAGTTTTTTCCCTCTCCGCCCCCCTCCCCCATTGAAAACACCTGGAAAGATGAAAACTAATGTTATTGGGGGGAGGAGGAGGTAGGTGAGAAGAGACATCCAGCAGGAAATGGGATTGATAGTTGGTATGAGAGATATGGGTATAGTGAAAACAAATAGATCTGGGATCAAGAGAGACTTTCCTCTGAGACTAATAATTGTATGACTATAAGCAAATCACTTAACAACTCTAGACCTCAGGTTCTTCCTTAATAAAAATTGATTTAGTAATATCTGTAGGAGTTTCCTGACATCTCATAATAGAGATAGTGAATTTAAAATACTATGTAACTCTTAAAGCCCTATATATTTGTCAGCTGTGTATGTATTTTTGACATACATAGTCATATTTGATTGCTAGCTACTTCTAAGTGTAGTACCCCATGAGCTACCTTCCAACTCAGACTCATACTCTGGGTTGGGTACCCCATAGAGTAGTTACTACCCTAGGATTAAAGGGTTCTTCCCTATTCCTAAATCTTGCTTTCAAGCCACAACCAGTGTACTTACCTTTAACAATGATGATGATGATGATAGTGGTGGTGATGGTGGTGGTGGTGGTGATGATGATAATGGTGATGATAATTGCTGCCATGTATATAGCACTTTATAGTTATTATTGTAATTATTTGCAAATACTGTGCTAAGTGCTTTATAATTATTAGCTTATGTGATTCTTACAACCACCCTGGGAAGCAGGTGCTGTTATTATCCCCATTTTACAACTGAGGAAACTTAGGCAAAGAGAGGTTAAGTGATTTCCCCAAGCTAGTAAGTGAGGCTGGATTTGAACTCTATTACTGTTATTAGGGAAGGGAGAGGAAGAAAGGGAGGAGAAGAACAGAAGGGAGGTGAGGAGAGGAGAGATATACTTAGACCTCTACCCTCTAGCAAAATGTGGCCTTTTCATATGCACCCTTTTGCTCTTTAGAACTTTTAATTTCTCTATTAGCATTCAATTAATTCAAAACAAGCTCCTCATTTTGTCCTAATGTATGTTGTATCCAAGGTGGTTTGCCCTCCTTGTCCATCCCTACATAAGAGTCTAACTGAAAGGCTAACTATCCCTAAGTCCTCCTCTACCTCTGAGCTTGATTATTAAGCTATATGCTTAGCATACAGACCGACAGAGCAGACATTCCCTTGTCCTGGTATATCCAGGTAAAATAAAGACAAGAGAAAATGACTCAAGAAGAGTCTAAAATCCATTCCAGAAGCAATGGGCAATTTCTAATAGCTAAAAATAGTAATAGATAATGTTTACATCGCATTTTAAGAAATGCAAAGTGACTTACATATGATTTCATTTGCACCTCAGAACAACCCTGTGAGGTAAATACTTCATTATCTCACAGATGAGGGAGCTGAAACTGAGACAAGTTAAATGACTTGCTCTAGGTCACACAGCTAATAAGTGTCTTAAGAGGAATACAAACTCAGGTTCCCCAGACTAAAAGTCCAATGTTCTGTCTATTACACAGCCAAATGTTCTGTCTATTACACAGCCAACTGCCTAAATGATTTATATTGTTGTATAATAGCAAAAGAAAGGTGAAATCACTTTATTTCCCCACTAAATGCAATGCATTTTATTTTGGTATAAAATCGCTTGTTTAAGCCCTTCTTTTCCATCCACACTAAAATATATTTGGCCCACACCATATATTGAGAGAACAACAATTCTCTCACTAGGCTACTGACAATCAGCAAAATAAAACAAGATCAATATATTTCTCTGGAGCCCAATTTCCTCATCTACAAAATGGGGACTCTATACCTATATATCTAAGGTCCCTTTTCAACTCTTAATATTGTATGATTTGATCAATTTTAACACAAAAAGATGCTTTTTAACTTTTAAAAATTAAAAAAGTTAATTTAAAAATATTTATCTTCTCAGTATTTCACATTGGTTCCGTTTGACCCTCTGGACACAAAATTCCTGGCTAACTTCATGGGACTTTATCCTACCTAACTGCTTATTTGCAGATACACATCTTCCTACATCCTCAACTCTAATCAAGCAAATCTGATTAGATTGTAAATTCCTTGAGGGCAGGGACTGTTTATTTATTATATTCCCAGCAAACTTAGCACAGTGCCTGACACATAGTTGGTGCTTAATAAATGTTTGTTGGATTGGATTGGAAATATCCCACTTATCCTTCACTTAAAATCTGCCACCCTTAAATCTTTTTATGGGATATCCTTTTTGTGTAAAGCTCTCCTTCTCTCATCTTTGGAGATATTAATCAATTAGTCAATCAACAAGCATTTAATTAAAGAAGGAAACAAACGTTTATTAAGTGCTTACTATATGCCAGGCACTGTACTAAAAAAGCTTTTCAAATATAATCCTTTGAACCTCACAACAACTCTGAGAAGGTAAGTGCTATTATTATCCCCTTTCTATAGCTGAGGAAACTGAAGCAGAGAAAGGTTAAGTCCCAGGGTCATAGAGCTAGTATGTGTCTGAGGCCTGATTTGAACTCGTGTAGTGCTCCATATACTGTGCCTCCTCCCTGCCTTAAGCACTTACTACAATATGTGCCAGCCACTGTACTAGGCTCTGAGGATTAAAAAGACAAAAACGAAACCCTTTCAGCCCTTAGGAAACTGAAATTCTATCAAGGGAAATAACAGTTACACATGTGAAAACATAGACAATACCCTATACAAAGTAATTTCAGGGGAGGAGACATGAAGTCTTTGTCAACAAAGTCTTCATGTAAAAGGCGGCCCTTGAGGAAGCTTTAAAGGAAAATTCCAAAAAGCGGAGGTAAAAAGGGAGCCCATTCCAGGCACGGGGACAGCTTGTGCAAAGGCAAAGAAATGAGAGGTGGACTTTCTTGTGTGAGGCACAGCACAGCCAATTTGGCTGGACCAAGAAGTGTGTGAAGGGGAGCAATTTATAATAACCCTGGAAATGCAGGTCAGAGCCAGGCTGAAGGGTTTTAGTTTGATCCTACATAGAATAGGGAGCCACAGTAGGATTTATATGATCGGTCAGATCTGTGCTTAGGAACATCATTTTGGAGCTGTGTGGAGCTGGACGGATTAGAGAGGGGAGAGTCTTGAGGCAGAAAGACCAATTAGGAGGCTGTTACAAAAATAATCCAGGCAAATGATGACTAGGGGGTAGTCATGTGAGAGGAGAGAAGGGGACAGATGCAAAAGATGTGGAGGTATAAGCCATAAGACTTGGCAACTGATTGGAGAAGTGGGACATGGGCAAGTAAGGAGTCTGCTGGCTTCTTCAGAGCTAGATGCAAGTTTGTGAGTTTTGCTTATGACTAACTTATCTCATAATATTCATGTAGGTCTTAAAAACACTTACTGATCAACAAACATACTCAGTCAACTCTAGGGCCTTTCGTTCACTTCCAGGATCAAAGACAAAATCTTCTGCTTGGCGTTCAAAGGTCTTTATAACTTGTCCCCCACCCCCATCCTTTCCAGTCTTCTTACATCTTACATCACACCATGTACTTTGCCAGCCAGTGACACTGGTATCCTTGGTGTTCCTAGCATAAGACATTTCACCATCTAGCTCTGGGCGTTTTTGCTGGCTATCTCCCAATGGCTAAAATGACCTCCTTCTTCATCTCTGCTTCCTGACTTCCCTAGCTTCCTTCAAGTCCCAGTTAAATCCCACCTTCTGCAGGAAGCCTTTCCCCTTAATTCCAGTGCCTTCCCTCTGTTGATTAATTTCTATTTATCTTGTATGTAACTTGTCGGTACATAATTTGCTTCTTGTCTCCTGCATTAGACTGTGAACTCTTGGAGAGCAAGGACTGTCTTTTGCCCTTTCTTTGTATTTCTTGCACTTAGCACAGAGCCTGGCAAAATAGTAGGTGCTTAATAAATGTATGTTCACTGATTCATAATGAGACATCAATTCC